GCCGCCCTGCGGCGCTGAAGTGGTAAAGATGGCCGCCGCCCTGCGGCGCTCTGTTGGAGGCGGTAAAGATGGGCGCCGCCCTGCGGCGCTGAAGTGGTAAAGATGGCCGCCGCCCTGCGGCGCTCTGTTGGAGGCGGTAAAGATGGCCGCCGCCCTGCGGCGCTCAGTTGGAGGCGGTAAAGATGGCCGCCGCCCTGCGGCGCGCTGTTGAGGCGGTAAAGATGGCCGCCGCCCTGCGGCGCTCTGTTGAGGCGGTAAAGATGGCACTTTGAAAACTATCAGATTTATTTCCACAGGTGGAAGTGGAACCAGTGGGGTTTTGTTTTGCTCCTCTGCAGAGGAAAAGCCAGATCTCGTTTGGCTGCTGCTGTGTTTGACACTTTGACCTTTGGGAACGAAGCTGACCCGTCTAAACTGGAACACCATCTGTCAGCTATAAGCTGAGATTTTACTTTGAAAATCACCAACTGTGTCTTAAAAACAGGCATGAGGTGAAGAGATGCTCCAAACATCTGTCCATGTTTTCTTCGTCTGGGGGACAGTCTGTCTCCAGGAGTCTCGGTCCAGTCCGGGGAAAAGTCCAGGTCCAAGACCCGGTGTTCTGTCAGATCATCATACGCCATCAGATCGTTATACGCTTAGCACAAACTGACGTAGATCGTCATACTTTGTTATTAACAGCTGTCTGACATCCTGACTCAGCGGTTAACTAGTCAGACTGTCATCAAGCAGCAGGGAGGCCAGTTTAGGGTGTGTGTTGTAGTTGGCTGCAGTTTTAGCTAGTCCTGCTTTAAATACACTTCTATCCAGTTATCATTGAAAACAATTTATTGACTTATTTTTGTCGTAACTTGGCGTGCATGCTGAACTGACAGCTCCTCCGACAGTCGGACTTCTTAATGCGCAGGCATGCGAACTCACTGCATGACAGCATCTGATGATCCGACAGAACACCGGTCCAGATCCAGAACCCTGCAGTACCAACAGCCACTTGCTGTCTGACTTCCTGTCCTCTGTGGAAGAACCGCGGTCCGATCTTCTTCCTGGTGTTGGTTCGGATCCTCCTCACCTCTCTGAAGGTCCCACCACAGCATTTCAATCAGCTTGAGTCTGGACTTTGACTAGGCCGCTGTGTCTGATGCCGATGAGCTGCTGTGACTCATCCTGGTCCAGTCAGGAACTGCAGGTCTGTGGAAGTCAGTCAGGCCCACACCATCACTCTGCCACCACCGTGCCTGACAGTGTCGGCTTCTCCTGAGCTGCTGGTTTCCTCCATCTTGGTCCAACTTTTCTGCTCTGGTCTCATCTGCTCTCCATCCAGATGTGGCTCTACCAACCTCAGGCCAGCGGCCATCTTGTTTCTAGAGAGGAGAGGCTATCTGTGTGACGACCTTTAACCTTTAACCTGCTATCTTGGGGTCTTTGCTGGGCACCAGCAGCTTGCTGGCATTAACCAGCAGGAATCCTCCTCAGATATTTAGAGCATAATAATGTTTTAATAATGTTTTTCTGCTGAGTCGGCGGTTCTGATCGGTTCCGATCGGTGCTGCTGGGGTGAAACCAGGACAAATGAGCGAGACAATCCTCGGCTCCTGGAGTCGGCAGCGTTAGCATCATGCTGAGTTTCACAGAGTCAGAGATCAGAGGCTTCAGGATCTGGGTCATTGATCCAGATGATCAGAACCAGCAGAGATCCAAGCCTCCATCAGCGCCGGGGGAGCAGCCTCTGATGATTGGTTGGATGCATTGTGGATGGATGCTGGATGTTGGATGATGTGCTCTGCTGTGACTCAGCCTCAGTCTGTAGGAGTTTCTCTGTTTTTGGGTTTTTCTCACAGATAGATGCTAATCAGCAGACAGGAAGTTGATCAGCTTTAATCACCTGAGCGCGCTCAGAGCTGATGGACGCTCTGATAGGAGGAATCTCCCCGATCGGTTATCTGACCCCAGATCAGATCTGATGGTCATAAATAAGCTGATCTGACAGCAGATGAATCAGAACCTGACCAGACCACAGAGGAGCCGACATGCTGCTGCTTCGCCGCGCCGCCGACACACTGCTGGTGAGAATCATGGCTGCCGAACTCTGACTGCTCTGTGGCTGACGCTGTTCGGTTCTGTCAGGGAGGGAGCCCAGACCCGCTTCTGGTTCTGGGGGAACCTATAACTGGAAAATAGCTGCTGTGTTTAGAGCTCAGGATGATGCTAAGATTAAGATTCATAAGACAGAAAGTACCAGAACCGGGTCAGGAACCAACCGGGCTTTAGGAAGGGCAGTAGCCCAGGGCTGCCACACTTTGGGTGGCACAAACATCATAGCTTTATATAAAGCTAACAGGCCGACAGCAGGTGAGTCAAATTCATATTTTGGGATTTTTATGAACATAAAAAATCCTAAAGTATTTGAAAATGAGCTGATGGTGTCGTCCAGGTATCAAACGTGGCTAATACCGGAGATCAGACAAACATCCGAGCTCATGTTAAAGATAAATATTATAACTAAATGTTAAAACTAAATATGAAAGCTACGTTTTAAAGCTCCGGCCCCAGGCGGGCTCCGGCCCCCGGCCCCGGCCTTCTGGATCCGGCTCTGGTCAGGAATGTTGGGAAAACCAAACAAACTCCGACTGAACAGAAACAGATAACATGAGGTCAAACAGGCGAGGAAATAATCTGTAGATATAAAAATATGAACCATAAACAAATAAATGAGATAAAAATATTAATGCTGGAATTATAGATTATATTTTTGGATTAACTAGTCATTAAGTGATCAGATTAAATGTCTTATTACTGAATCTGAGATTAATAACTGATTTCTTTAGTAATTAATCATTGGTTTAATATCATTATTGGCTTATTTCAATCAGAACTCAGTAGATAATCGATAGATTTATGGATTTCACTTCTTTTGTTCTGGAACAGATTTTATTTTTTTATTAAATTATTGTTGAGCCTCGATGCATCCAGGCTGAAGGAGGGTGTACTTACTTTCTGCCAGGAAGGTCTCCAGGTTTCATTATGCAGCACCAGCTGTGGAGACGAGCAGTCAGAGAGCGTCCGGTCCGACCCGCTTGGACCCGGCCCGACCCGTTCGGACCCGGTCCGACCCGTTCGGACCCGGCCCGACCCGTTTGGACCCGGTCCGACCCGTTTCACTGCAAAAGCACTAAATCTTACCAAATTATTTCTCTCCCATTTCCAGTTTGGTTCAGTTGGAGATTTTTGCACTGAAACAGAACGGTTTGATGTTCTGGTCGTCTTGGACCGGGTCGGACCCGGTTGGTCTGCTGATATTTGTGTTTGATTGGAAACTGTAAAAATAATCTGAGTTTGGAGATGAATACCATTAATACCATCCAGGTCCAGGTCCTGGTTCTGGTTCTGGCCCAGCTGACCCCGCTGTGTGTCCCTCAGGTCCTGTGCAGTGCATTGTGGGTAATCTCCGGGCAGCTGCCCTGTGACTCCATGCTGGTTTTCTCCTCCGACGTTCCTCTGGCTGAAGGAAACGGGAACGTCCACCAGCGCTCGCTGTCGCCATGGAGCTGGAGGTGGGTCCAGCAGAACCTCTGGTTCTGGTCCCGGTTCTGGTTCTGACGCTGCCCTCTGCCTCTGCAGGTCCAGCACGGTGAAGAACCGGATCCCGTCCACCATCTGGGAGGCCAGCTGCAGCACCAAGTTCTGCTCCGGACCCAAACCGGGTCAAGAGGAAGAACACAACTGGAACTCTGTCCCGATCCACCAGAACATTCTGGTTCTGACCCGGATGGAGGGCAGCCGCTGCTACAACGCCTCCTACCTCTCAGTGGCAGTGGGCTGCACCTGCGTCCGGGCCAGCACTGAGCAGAACTAGAGACCAGAACCAGAACCGGACCCGGAACCGAGCAGAACTAGAGACCAGAACCGGACCCGGAACCGAGCAGAACTAGAGACTGGAACCAGAACCAACCAGTACCAAAACCAGAACCAGAAATCTATGGTTGAGTAGTGTAATGGAAACGGTTCTGGATCCAGTTTGATGTTCTGGTTCGACCTGGTTCCTCTGAGGTCCGGTCCTCCTGGTTCCGATCCGTTCTGTTCAGAACTCCGACAGCTCCTCGTCCTCCTCCGAGCTCTGCGTTTCCATAGATACTGATATTTTCTGGTTCTGAACAAATTTATGAACACGGACTCGGACAGAACCGCTGTCGTCTGGCCCGGTTCTGAACCTGAAATGTTTTTGGGTTCATTTATTAAACCAGAAAAATGTTTATGATTCAAATGGAGAACAAAGAACCGCAGATATTTCCCTTCCTCGCTGAACTCGGGTTCTGTTTGTGGTTCTGATTCTAAAATGTTCCGTTTATTATTCAGATCACAAACCGACTAAACTTTCCTTTTGACTCTTTCTGTACATAAATGCTGGAAAATATAAAGATTCTGAATCTTTATTTGGGTTCTAATCTGGTTCTGGTTCTGGTCCAGCTGAAGTTCTGTTCGAATGTCGACTGTTTTTTAATTCTTTAATTTCATACAAATAAACTGAAGAAATGTGAATAAAATCCAACCAGTTCTGTTTGTTAGTGTCAGGTCCTGAACCGGTTCTGGTTCTGAACCCAAACCTTTGGGTTTGTCGGTTAATTTAAGGTTTTCCTTTTCTCTGATACCTTCTGGTTTTACTGACTGGCTGTTGACTGAATTATTATATTTCTTTCCTGCCAGTTCTGCCCTGATTAAAATTTAATTACAGCAGAACTTTATTTGACAGTAACGCGGAACCACCAGCAGGGGGAAGCAAATCACGCGAGGCTTTAAGCTGCTTCCTTTAAACCAGTGTTTCTCCCCCCTGGTCCTCAGCCCCCCTGCTCTGCATGTTTTAGATGAGCCTCTATTCCAGAACAGCTGATTCAAATGATTGCATGACCATCAAGTCCTGCAGAAGCCTGTTAATCACCCAGAGAAACAATCCAGGAGTGGCAGAAGGGAAACACCTAACACATGCAGGACAGGGGGCCTGAGGACCAGGGTGGAGAAACACTGCTTTAAACAGAAGATCAGTATTCCAGCAGGTTCGCTGCTTTAGTTCAGACTTTAAAGGAAAACTCTAGAAAACTGGAGAGAAAATGGAGATCTACACGTCTAGAGGAATTCTTCGTAACCTGGAAAATGCTCTACAGCTGTGAACAGACCTGTAGCCATACATAACTTATTCATCTCCTGAGAGACACACCGGGGCTCAAAGATGCTGTAAAATACAATAAAAACAGCATCAATCCAGGTAAACAGGAGTTATGTGAAAACATTGCAAAGCTTTATGGCAGAACTATGCAAAGTGGTTTGTTCTTTTAAAGTATGGCCGCCAGGGGGCGCTCTGCGGGCCTCAGAAAATGAGGTAAATAAAAGCAAATTAATTTTCAATCTTAAACATTTTATCATTATTTTTTTCTGTTTTCAATCACTTTAAAATAAAATCTAATTTAAAACAACTGATTTACATATTATATCTCCTCATTTTCCAAATGGCTGCCATTCAAGCTATGCTAGCTTTGGTTCTCAAGCTAGCATAGCATAGCGAGACCAAACTGGAAAATATTTCTGATAAGAAAAAGACCAAACGAGCCGCCCGGCAGCCCCGCTGTGAAGGAAACGACTGTAAAAAAAACCTTGTAAGAACTGTGGGAATAAAATCTGATGGGATTACCATGAAATATTACACGTTTTCTTAGAATCAAAAGAGGGGGTGGATTGTGATGACCATCCAACATTTAGCCCACCAATCAAACTCAAAATACAGATTCTAGCATTAGCTGCACATGCTAGCCCAAACTAGTTAGCATTAGCTATAAGCAGCCCCCATTTCACTCACCGCTCAGTGAAAACCAAACTTCATGGCTCGCTGGTTAACGGGTCATGATTCATTTTCATATAATGAGCTTTAAGGCGCAAAGGGACAGAAACAAGAAGTTGTTTGGATGTACAGACCTGCAGCTGATGATGATGATGGGTCACCTGAAGCCTGTATCTTTATGGCAAGGCGTTTTAACATAAAATCAGCTACACCACACTTCCGTTCCAGATATCTGGAGATATGGCCAAACCAGTTTCAGTCTCTAATTACATTCTGACCGGTATAAATGACGTCAGACTTACAATTAATTTGCATGGAAAATTAATGCAAATTAATGTTCCATCCATTAATTTTACTCACCAGTAAATTATGAGTCATAAAATAAATTTGAGACGTCTCGATTTTTGTTCTGACTAGTAAATCTGAGTAATTCTTGACATTTTTTAATGTACTTCAGAAATCTTAAAGTAACGTTGTGTCAAGTCATCACTTGCTTCAAACAGCTGATAACATCACTGATATCTTTAGTAATTATTCTGTTAAAACGTCACAGATTTACATATCATTTTGAAATTGAAATAATAAAAAAGTATTTTAAAAGTATTTAGAAACTGCTGTGTTTTCATCTTGGGTTGCCTGCAGAACTTTTAGCTCCTTTAGCTAAACTTGGTGGAATAATGTTTTACTGAAGTGTTGGTTTACTGTTTGTTTGACTTGAGGAAGCATTTCTGCAGTTGGTCCATTTATTGTTCCAAAATGGAGTTAATTTAACCAACACGAATGGCACTGACTCAAACTGATCAGCAGAGGTTCCATGTTTACTGAACCACAGTGACACCTAGTGGTCACACCGTGACACAGACCTTATTTTACGGGATATTTAGATGAATAATTATGAACTTCTCGTTCCCCTCGTCTCCCATCCTTTTTTTAAAAATCCTGCTGAGTTTTTCCACTCTGAAGCATTTTCTGATCACTTTATGCAGGAAAGCCAAAATTCTGCCGGCAGCTTTTTGGACAACTGTGGCAACATTTCTTAACTCCTACATCTAAAACTGTAGCTTTGACTGGTCATAATTATGTTTGTAGATACGGATGTCTGACCCTTCAGATGACGAATCCGGTGGCGCCATCTTGAAATTAATTATAATCTGTCAAAATATAATGTACGATATTATGAATTATTCTTCATAGTAATATGTGAAGTCATAAATCTTGACTAATCATTCAGGATGGTCAATATGTTGTTGTGAAAAGTCAAAACTCTTTTTTTACAGATCTGGAATATAATTAAGGATAGTTAGATGAAGCTGATTCTTTGTTAAAACGGCCTGCCGTACCGAGGCTGATATGGAGCCAATAAAAAAGGAAAACCTTTTTCATATGGGATGAGCCTCCCAATAAGATTCACGTTTGGTCACATGAGTCTCAGCTGTTTGAAACTAAACATTAAGAAACCGGTTCAGTAAACTGAAAACTCTTGGAGCTATTTATTCTTTATTTTCTTTATCCATTTGAATTTTGTTAGTTTATTCTTAAATTTATATTTTTTGTACTTTTTACAGAGTTTATTTGTAGGTTAATAATCATTGATTTTATTTATCTTTTGTTTTATTATTTTTCTTATTTATTTTCTAAGTAAACAGGAAGTGATGTGGGTTGGTCCACTTTCTATAAGTGGAGGTCCTGGAGGACCAGCAGGCATTTGGGTTTGGGGCCGATGGTTTTTACCAGAGCAAGAGAGGAAGCAGAGAGAACAGAGGGAAGTTTGAACTCTGTAATTGTTTTGCAAAAATGTGAAAATAAATCATCAAGAACAGTTTACAAGTTTGGATATTGAACCTTGACCCCAGTGCCTTAGTGGCTTAATGGAGCTTTGATTGGATGTTTGGTTTGACAAACAATCGCCACTACAAAAACCTTATTCAGACACACTGCAGATGTTACATGTCCAGGCGACCCGTCCAGGCGACGTCCAGGTACCCGTCCAGGCAGGCAACCCGTCCAGGCGACCCGTCCAGGCGACCCGTCCAGGCGACCCGTCCAGGCAGGCGACCCGTCCAGGCAGGCCACCCGGCCAGGCGACC